ATCAAATTAAACATGTTTCCTAGATTTAAATTTTAAAAACAAAAAATATTTTCTGAAAAAGAAAATAGAAAATAATGAAAATAGAAAAATATTTTCCATGACCAAATACACATTAAGAGATTGAGAAAAATTCATGAAATCACTTGTAAAATTAAAAAAAAGAATATTAAATAAAATTTCTTAAAAACATTATTATGAGTTGGTACAAATTGTTTGAGATTTGATTCAAGTTTACACTCTCATGATATGTTTATATTCTTATTTTACCTTTTCTTTTCCCAAATTTTGGAGGTAAGTGATTTAAAATATAAAAAAAAAAAATATTTTCCTCTCCCTATGTTTTCCTGGAACCACTTTATTGATGATAAAAAAAAAATACTTAAAAATAAAGGAAGAATGCAAAACTTTATGAAAAAATATAACAGATAAGGATACACAAAGTGAACTCGAATAGTACTCTCTGCAAAATAAATGTAATTTATTAAAGTTTCTGCTTAAAAGATAAAAACTATAATAAATGTATTACTTTTTAATATAATGTTATTGTATCTTATTTATAATAAAATGGATAAATTTTACATTTAGTTATTTCAACTCAAATCAGAACTATTACTTCCCTTAAAATACATGCATGTTATAAAAAACGACATTGTAATAATTGAATAATATATTTGCAGTAATTGATTGACGTTTCATTCTATTGGTATTTTTTTTGTGTGCTATTTATCTATTTCTTTTTCAATAAATACAATATTTTTCTAAGATCCATTATAATTCAAACATTCACATTAAATTAAGAACGTTTGGTTTGATTAGTGTTTAATTTTAGTCTATTCGATCGTGTACTTTATTATTCAGTTAATATAGACTTTTTTTTATTTATAAAAAAGTCTATTATAATTTAAATATTTATTTGAAAGAGTTTTTTTTAAACTTTAATATTTCAAAAATATTAATGTAAATAAATATATTTATTTTATCAAAATAATCTTTAAAACTAAGTAAATATTTTTTACTATAAATAATTGAATGATATTAAAAAAGACACGACATTTAAACAATCAACTGGTTCTTGTATTTCTTTTATGATGTTAAAGGAAATATTTTTCCTACATAAATTACTTTTTAACATACTATATCAATTTGAATTCATTATATTAAAATTACAAAAATAAATATTTTCACATTTTTTTAGGGGAAATATTTTCACATTTAGTATCTATTAAATTAAAATAAATTTTCATAAAATTTTTAACCTTTTATGTTCATTGTAAAACTATTTAGTAAAATTCAAAAACATTATTATATAAGAAAACAAAAGTAAATGAAGTTATTTCGATAAAATAAAATAATAAAGACTTTCATCGCAAACATATAGTGTGTATATAAATAGTTAAGCCATAATATAGAGTGGACGAAATCAGAATTTTTGACTGAAATATTATTTTTTTTTAAAAAAATACCCAAATAACACCTGTACCAATTTATTTATCTAAGTAGATCCTTTTATTGTTCATGTTCAGAATTTGGTTCTCCGAGAATCAAATTTTGAGCAATGTTTTATATATATATATATATATATATATATTATTTTTATTTTTATTTACATTTTTGGGTTTAGGCATATGTAAATTCTGTATCTGGAACGGTCCGTTCTGCATCTAGAATGACCCGTTCTTAAAACCAGAACGGGT